GGGCAGCACAGGAACAAATATTCCACTGTTGAAGCTTCAAATGTTAATAATTTGTTAAAAGAAATTCATAATATTATTGATAAGAATTATGAACGAAGTCCATTGTTTGATGAAATCTCAGTCTTGGGTTTCTTAGAAACTTCAATGATTGTAAGTTAACCCAGTAGGTTTTTTGATTCAGTTTGTCCCTGATCCACGATTTGAAGAAGTCAAAGAATTTGTCAGAAGTGGTGTTTTTGGATCTTACAATTACGACGAATTGATTGGATCCTTAGAAGGAAATGAAGGTTTTGGTCGAGCAGATTATTTCCTTGTGGGCAAGGACTTCCCCAGCTACATAGAATGCCAAGAGAAGGTTGATGAAGCATACCGGGACCAAAAAGTGAGTTTATAAACTTTTTCTTATTTGCTAACGAATATTTGTTTCCACGTGCTTTCCTGTTGAAAGCATGCACCAATTCCTTGTTTATTACAAGCATTTTTCATCTGATATTCACTATACTTTTCTGGTCAGAAGTATTTTCTCTCATTTACGTGTTCTATCATATCATACAAGTACAACTTGTTTTTGAATTATATTCAGTTGTGAAATCCTTGGTTGTTCTGTTCCTTCATGCAACTATGGACATTTGAAGTCCTACATGCATCAACTTCTGTTGGCGTTCATGAAGAACAGGCTAGTTTCATGTTATGTTATCTTTGACAGTTTGACATTAACATTTGTGAATGATGTGGGTGCAGAAATGGACAAGAATGTCAATATTGAACACGGCAGGGTCGTACAAGTTCAGCAGTGACCGTACGATTCATGAATATGCGGGAGAGATATGGAACATTGAGCCAGTGAAATTGCCGGAGAGGAGTACATAATGAATGAATAGGTACCACGTGGTTGTGATGATGATCACTGCTTAGCTTAATTCCTCGTACCAGAAAATAAAAATAATTTTGTATAGCGACGCGCTTTGCGGCTGCGCTCGCTCTTGGTCAAAATAATAAGCTAAGCTTCTAGTTCTGTAATTTATGCATATATTATGGGTACTACGTCGGTGTAAAGTTAGCAAACCTTTGTCTAATAATGAATGTCAGATTCAATCCCTATGTTGTCTCGGCTTCATTTCTTACGTCTGCCTTCAAATCCAAAGAGTTTGTAATACTCATGCAGTTTAATCAATTTATTTAATTTTTTAAACCACTCCATTTATTATATGTAATTAAAAGGTAACAAAGTGAAATATTCAATAAATACTAAAATCAAAGCGATCAGTCATCAATGGTGGCCCCAAAAAATATATAATAAAATTAAATGGACAAAATATCAAATATCAAATATATATTACTAAATTCAAAGATAAACGACTTATTCGAAATTTTATTGCATTCGAACCAGCATGCATCTATTTCGCTTAACATTCTCAAATATTTAGTGTGATTGGATTGTTACTCTCCAATATGTCCTTAGAAATGCAAATGTTGATGCGCACTGTCTTGCCAATTTTGGGGCCTGACAACATGTTTCTTTTTGTACTTCAGAGAAGCCTTTACCGTATCTTGCTACTAATTGCTTTCTTTAGCATTTCCAATGAAGTAAAAAAATAGGTTTAAATATATTTTTAATTCCTTAAATTTAAGATAAATTTAGTTTTTTCTTCAAATTTAAAATTATTATTTTTAGTCTTCATAATTTCAAAAAAATCTTATTTTAGTTCTTATATTTAAATTTTGTTAAGAAATTTATCAAATATTATTACATAAAATTTACTTATTGGTATCCATGTTAGTAAAAATATTACATTAAATCCGATTGATATTATATAACCGTCTTCATTTGTCATTTTTAGATATGTTATTATAGATCTAAGGGACTAAAACAAGTTTTTTTGAAAATTGCAGGAACTAAAAATAATAGTTTTAAATTTGAGAGATCAAAAACAATTTTATTTTAAATTTGAGGGACTAAAAACATATTTAAGCCTAGAAACCCTAATGGAATGAATAATAATTAAATTAATTATAATTCAAAATAAATTTATATTAATTAAAAATTGAATAAATTTTAAGTAATTTATATATTGATTATAACGATTAAAATTAATTTATATTGATTAAAATTTAGATAATCCATATAAGCTATGTTGATGAATTCAATCACTTTCTTTTTTGTTTAGTACCACTATAATTAGGATCTTGGACCCTTAGTAGTACATCAAGGTATTTTCGTTTGCGGGGATTAAACTTTGTGTCTTCCACAAACTCAACGTTTATTGTCAACTAAGCTACACACATTGAGTACAATTCAATCAATTCATATGCATTAAAACATTTCAAATGTTTATTTTAAAAAAAAAACATCGTTAATAACGTTGAATATGATTGTTTATTTATTAAAAACTAAATTCAAGCATTGATGGATTAAAAAAATCTAGAGAATAATATGGAAAAGACAACAATACGTGACAATGTTTTAAAAAAATATACTCACCTAATTATTTAAATTGATCAATGGCTACAAGAATTTTTTTCATATATCTGCATACACTTTTAGGACAATCAATAAACTTGTGAATATAAATATCATATATCTACAAATATGGGATACATCGTGGGTGGTATTTTTCATCCTATATTTAAATATTAATATTTTTTTCGTGTTTTCTTTTTTTGATTAAATATTAACATATTTTCATATAATATCTTTTATATGATGTAAGTATGCACTTCTAAGTCTTAATATGTTTTATATTATTTTTTAGTCTTTGTATAAAATATATTTGACTTGTGTTTTTGTATGTTAATAAGTTTTCTTGTATAATATTTGTCTCTAAGAGATATAATTGGTGGGTTGATTTTTGGAGAATTGACAAGGGAGAGTTAATTACTATTGGTTGGTTTTCTAGTAGGTGTAATAAAGTTGTAAGGGATGGGACATATACATTTTTTTAGCAAGAGGCTTGGTGTGGCCCAACAGCTTTTTGTGTAAAATATAAAAAAGTTATTCTCTATTGCGACTAATAAAAGTGCCACCATTGCTGATTTGAGGGTAATAGTGGATGGGGACGAAGTGTGGAACTGGTCCTAGAGGCGAAACCTGTTTCAATGGGAATGAAGGTGAACTATTACAACAATTGAAAACTGACATTGATTTCTTGCACCTGTAATCGGGAGTCAATGATCATTGGGTCTGGTCAGCTTCGAAAGATGGTGAATATTCTGTGAGGTCAGCTTACAATGTCATTGTGAATAAGGATATATTTGGTGAATTTCCTCTATATAATTACCTATGATCCAAGTTTCTTCCTTCAAAAGTGTCTAGCTTTGCTTGGCGATCTATGCTTAATAAATTACCAACAAAACAAAACTTAATTAAAAGAGGGATTCTACAAGCTGGAGATGGATACTATATTTGGTGTGGCCATGATCTGGAGATAGTGTCCCATTTATTTTTTGAATTCCCTTTTGCTTATTGCATATGGATGTTGTGTTTAAATTGGTTTGGTATAACGTCTGTGCTCCATAATTCTTGCCACCTTCACTTAGCACAGTTTGTGGGTTTACCTATTTGCTCTAGTGTGGATTAGTTAAGATGGTCAACTGTGTGGATGACTGTTTTATGGTCTCAATGGATTACTAGGGATGAGGCTATTTTCTCTAATAAGGTCACATTACATTCTGACTTATTGGAGTTGATTCAAATTCATTCTTGGAAGTGGCTTAAGGCTAAGGACCTTTCTTTCCAGTAATCCTTTTCATCTTGGGTTGGCTCTCCCGCTGTCTGTCTAAATTTTTTGGACATATACTCAGTTTCTGAGCATCTGAGTATGTAGGGTGAGATTATACTTATGGGAGATCACATACTGTCATCATCAAGGGTTCAAACACTATCCTTGTGTGAAATCTGTGGTAAATCACTTAGTAATTGCTTATTAGGTGTCGTATCTTCTTTTACTGTGGCTGTAGAATAGGCACCGTGTTTTTAGTTGCTACAAGTATTCTTTGGTCTATTGTATTTGTATATAGGTTAGAGTATCACTTGTACTCCTTTTTAATAAATCTCTTTACCTTAGCAAAAAAGAAAAAGAGATATAAATGTTCACTAAATATAGTAACTTTTACATTAAAACACCTTTCATGTAAAACATGTTTTAATAATATAATTATTTAAAATTTCATTCCGTAGTAATATACCAAGAAAAAATGTTAAGCAATTTTTTTGAAAAAAAAATCAATAAAACTATAATTTATTTTTAATGAAATCATTTAATTAACTTTTTATAACAAATAATACAAATTTATATTGAAATGTTCAACTAAAGAGAAATTTTTACTATTCTTATTCTAAAATTTCTTTTAAATTTAATCTTTAGCGATCGTTCATGCTTTGTGAATTTGTTGATATCCTTATTTACATGTTCATAAAGATTTAAGGAAGAAATTTGAGAAGTGAAACGTTTGTATTGAAACCATAAAAATTGTAATTTAATTTTAAATCATGACAGTAATTTCAATTTCTCAAGGATTCAAATGGGTTCAATCTAATTTCAATTAACAAAGAGTAGGACATGGCTTAATGAAGTACAAGTTTGTATCTTAAGAGAAAATATTGGTTATATTAAGATAAATCACCTTTAAAAGAAATTGAGAAATATGATTGTAATTATGAATACATATAGGTAAAGCCTCAACAATGAGTACACACTACAAGAAAGGAAAGCCATAACACCATCCATAACACATTATTTTACAGTTTACAAATGATCATATTTTAAAAAATCAAAATTCACTCATTTTATAAATACTAAAAAATAATTATTTTAAATTTTAAAGATATGGAAATCAAAGAATATTTTTTTACAAAAACTAGAATCAAAACTCCTTGTTTTATAACAGATTAAAAACATGCCAAAACGTTCTCAAAACATTAGCAACTTTTATGGTTGGAGTAGGTCCAAAATTTTCTCATTCAGAAAAGAACATTCACCAAACTAAAAGTAACACCATACTAATCAAATAAAAAAAATCCTTGTAAACTCATAACAGCCAAACAGTGATGAATTGCAGTACAAAGAAAAGCAAAACATAGCCTCCTACTTTCCCATAACTTATACTCATTTATGCCAACTACTATGGGAAAGTGAAAAATGGCAAAGAAAAAATTGTTCAAAAAAGTATAGTAAATAATTGAACCAAACAGAATGCCTCAATCCTTGCACCCCTTTTATGCCACGGCTGGCATGTCCTTAAGCCATGGATCAAGTGGCTTCCCAATTGAGTACACAATGAAGCCAATCTCACGTAACTTATCAACATCCACAATGTTCCTTCCATCAAACACAAATGCTGGTTTTCTCATGTTGTCATACACCTTCTGATAATCAAGGGTCTTAAACTCATCCCACTCGGTCAAAATGCAAACACCATCTGCATCCTTTGTGGCCTCATATGCATCCCAAACCACACTCACTTTCTTCTCAGTTGTAGGACTAGTTGGCTGCAAGTGAATGGGGTGGTCCCAATCAAACTTGTTCATCCAAAGATCCCTCTGAATTTGGTCCTCAGTTACCTGCGGATCATAGATGCTTAGACGTGCCTTGTCACCAAGTAGTCCCTTGCACACATCAATTGCTGGTGTCTCCCTTGTGTCCCCAGTGTCCTTCTTGAATGCAAACCCCAGAATTGCAATCTTCTTGGTAGCAACCGTGTTGAACATTGACGAAACCACACGGTTCACGAACCGGCTCTTCTGGTAGTCATTGATCTTGATCACTTGTTTCCAGTACTCAGCCACCTCTGGCAAACCATTGCACTCACAAATGTAGACAAGGTTCAGGATGTCCTTCTGGAAGCATGAGCCACCAAAGCCAACACTAGCATTCAAAAACTTTGGTCCAATCCTTGTGTCAGTTCCAACAGCATAGGACACTTGTGTGACATTTGCCCCAGTGGCCTCACAAAGTGCTGACATAGCATTCACAGATGAAATTCTCTGCGCCAAGAAGGCATTAGCAGCAAGCTTTGACAGTTCAGCAGACCACAGATTTGTGGTTAAGATTCTCCCCTCAGGAACCCAATGAGCATAAACATTTTTCAATGTTTGAATGGCTTTTTGGCCTTCTGGGGTTTCCCTTCCTCCAATGAGGACCCTATCTGGATTGAAAAGGTCTTGGATTGCAGTTCCCTCAGCAAGGAACTCAGGGTTTGACAGGATTTGGAACTTGATGCCCTTGCCATTGTGAGTCAAAATTTTCTCTATGGCCTCAGCAGTTTTCACAGGGACAGTGGATTTCTCCACCACAATCTTGTCACTCTTGGAGACGTCAGCAATCATGCGAGCTGCACTCTCCCAGTATGTCAGATCTGCAGCCTTGCCGGCTCCAAGTCCGCGGGTTTTGGTCGGCGTGTTGACAGAGACAAACACAATGTCAGCCTCATAGACATGTTTCTCAACATCTGTGCTGAAGAAGAGGTTCTTGCCACGGCATTGCTTCACCACACCATCAAGGCCTGGCTCATAGATTGGAAGCTGGTCACTGTTCCATGCTGCAATGCGGGATTTGGAGATGTCAACAACAGCCACTTCAATGGAGGGGCACTTCAGTGCAATGACTGCCATTGTAGGACCCCCCACATATCCAGCACCAATGCAGCAAATCTTCACCATTTTCCCTTTCTAAACAACCTATCCAATGAGGGGATTCAAATGCATCAGTAAATAAATACAAGTATACGACAAAAGCCAATTTAACAACTAGGGTCTGATTAAATAAACTTCTCAAGAAGCATTCTAAGAAGAAAAAATAAGGAGAACAAATAAAGTAAGCTTTTCCATAAGTTAAAACTAACTTCAATCATAATTTTTTTTGAGAAGCTATATGAGACTCTTCTACAAATTAACTTATGTATAAGATGATTTTAGATTATAGGAAAACTTATTTTCCTTCTTATTTTTCTCTCCTAAACATGTGTATGTAGAAATTTATCCTTTCCCTATATCAATCATGTTCCTTTTGAGTAAATAGTTCATGCATTAATAATATTGTAAAAAAATTTAACATTGTCATTAGTCATTCAATCATAAATTATTATATATGATAAATTTATTGACTCTTACAATACTTATATTAAAATTCATACATGACATGATTTTTTTATTAGTTAACAGTACATAGAAATCGAACTCCTTTTTGATACGCATAATAAGGGGAAGATCAATTTGCATTATATCCATTTTAGAGGACAATGAGACAAGGCACCATAGCTTGTCTTCAGAAGTTACAGAAAAGAATTCATATATGTTAGTGGAAAAAGTCAATAGCACACATCAATTTTCTGTGAAGATTCATTCTCAAGGCCAACAATGGCACAGCCTCACTAGTAAGACTGGCCAACCGAAGCTACATGTTAATGTGTTCCAGATTTTCTTCTAATCATACAGCAAGTACTCAGAAATAGGATTAAAAGCATCCAGATCTAGTAGATGCATCCAGAGTATGATGACTTTGATGATGAACTTTTAGACTACTAGAAGTTGACCACAGAGAGACCAATCTTAAGAAAGTATTGTCAGTAGATCTAGGACTCGGTAATGAAAAAAAAAATGCTTGATATTTCTATTAATACGTCAACCACTGATTGCAGTAGATCCAATTCCAAAGAGGTTCAAAACAAAATCCATGACAGCATTGAATCAAACATAAAATTGAACAACTTACCACACAAGAAAGAGAAAATGGCTAGAGATCTACACACCTTTACACAAATCAGAATCAAACCCATCAATCAGCAAGAACTAACTATACCCCATCACAATTTTTAAGACCAAATTTACTGCCTAAGCTCATAACATGATACCAGAGTAAAAAATATAAAGCTTTAAAATTCGACAAAATCTTTAACACAGGACACCAAATCAGGAAATGGGTGTCAAGTAAACTTTACCTGCAGAAATGAATCTCCTTGACTGAGAAAGAAAGGAAGAAAACAAGAACAAGGAGAAAGAGAGAAGCTTATGTGGAAGAAGTGCTTACAAAGGTTATATATAATATAAGCAAATCTTGGTTTTGTAGCTGTTATTACCAAAAGGGTCAAGCTTTCATAGTGAGAGGGATGTGTTTGGTGCAGAGAGGCTTTCTATTGCATTCTGGTGGGTCACTCTTCTAGAGTGAAAGTAAGGGCAATATTGGGAACACAAGTTAATTCACACAAGTGCACAATGACATCTTAGCACGTTTCCACTTTTTGTGTGTGTCTCAGTTTCTGTGTCAACTTCAAGCACGTCGATCGGCAATGTCATTAGTCACCATCGCCTTCTTCCTAAGAAGCTCTCTCATTTCCTCACTCATGCAAAATTATTTTGGAAAGTGAATAGCATGAAACTATCTCACGCTCTATATATGTGAAGCATAACTAATTTTGTCAATGAAATTTAGTGAGTATTTTTAGTGGATTGTCCATATCATAAAAAAAAAATTCATTTATAAAACTCAAAATTTAAGATTTCTATTTAGAATGCTGTAAAAAATATATATACATTTAGAACAACGAAACATTATATGTAGTGAAATAAGATTAATCGTTAATGTACTATGTAAGGATGGAATTTGTTTTGATTATTCTAATTTATATAGATAAAAAAAATATAAATAAAGTCCATCATATATAATAAATTAGTTGAATGAAACCAATTTATATATATAATAGTTTCATTCAACGAATTCATTATATATAACTGAAATAGTTTATAATACTGTTTATATTACATCGACCTTTGTCATTAAATTGACCTTTAATTTACCACTAAATTGGTTTTAATAATCATGATATTATATTGATTTAATAATTATGATATTATTTGTGTTTGAATATCATTACAAAATATAATTGTCTTTATACTATTTATTCATATAATAAATGATATTCTATCCTAATGAAATAATAAATGCTCTTATATTAAAGTACTACTATATGATAAAATTAATAATTAATATACATTCAATTTATTGAAAAGTAACGCAATTATCAAAATTATACTCTTTTTTCACAGGAACAAAATTTCACTTTTTTTACACTTTATTCCTCCCCTATTTTTATATCTTTCTAAATCAAATTTTTATCTAAATTTTAGTATGTTAAAATCACAATATACTTAAATTAAAATTAGTAATAAACATTTTTTTACTTAGTCACTTTAAAAGAGCATTTTTCATTCCATCTCATATTTTTAATTTAGATGAATTTTCTTATCATGCTTATGTTAATATGCTTAATATAGTTAAATACAAACCGGCCGATTTCCATTTGTCTAATTTGAGAAAATAACGGTGCTATTTGAATTAACTCTAGTTAATTATTACATCTTCTTCAAAAAGTAATTTACTCCAATCATTACTTCATCTTCTCTGAAAAGGAATTTACTCCAACAATCTCTAAGGTCTATAATTATTGGTGAGGATTATATGAGCAAGACTATCATGTGCACTTATGTAGAACTAGGTTAAAATATTTTACGAGCTTTCATTGAAGCACATATTGTGCAAACTTCAAAATTAAGGATGCACTTTGCTTCAAAAGTTAGGAAATGTTGAGTGCATGTGAAGCTAGAAAGAGGAAACAACCAACAACTCAAGTATATATATATATATATATATATATATGTATATGTATCTATGTATGTTAAAATATTTTAACTTAATAACTAGGTACTTGGACCAATTAGGCATGACATCAACCTTAAACCACAAGGTTTATTGTAGACAAACTTTGGTTGGATATATATATATATATAAGCTGAAAGAAACAAGAATTATGGGATGGTCTATGGTCTTGATGCCTTAAGAAACTATGCAAGGTACAAAATAAGAGCTCGGTTTCTATGGATAAAAATAAAGTAGAAAAGAGAGATGAGAAATAAATATAAATTTCCATTATTTATTTGAGAGGAAGAAGGGATGAGAAAAAAAAAATCAATAAAACATATTTGTTTTTATCAAAACTCAGTTACTTATATCATCAAATTAATTTTATTCAACATTTTTCATGAATTTACTAAAATTTTGACTAATTTTCTTTTACTTATTTTTTCAAATTAATTGAGTATACTTTTCGTACTAAAAACACAGATAAGATATATAAAAACATACAAATACGTGACTATTTTCGAAAACATCTTTAATAGTATAAGTGATAGATCCACATTTAAGTCAGAGTGGACAAATACATCATCTTATTTTAATTTAAACAAGTTACTATTTTTGACAACATCTTTAATAGTACACAGTGATGGATCCACATAAGATTGGACAAATTCATTCCCTTACTTTAATTAAATTATTAGTGTGCGTAAGTGTGTATGTATGTTATTCAATGTTTTTCAAGAATTTACTTAAATTATGTGCATGTTATTCAACGTTTTTCATGAATTTACTTCAATTTTGACTAATTATTTATTTATTTATTTATTCAAATTAATGGAGTATATTTTTCTTACAAATTTTTAACATTTATATTTTTAAATTTGATCTACTAAATAAAAAATACATATATAATATAGGAAAATATGTAAATAAATTACTATCTTTGGCAACATCTTTAGTGGCACACAATGACAGATCCACACTTAAGGGAAAGTGGACAACTACACCCCCTCACTTTAATTAAATTATTAATGTATATGTGTGTGTAAAAGTATAGGATTCTACACCCTTAATATTATATAATGACCCTCCCGACCATCGATAAAAGTTAAATTCTTTAGGTTAATTAAAATATCTTTTTAATTCCTATACCTTCATTTACTTTATATTTTAGTTCTTATATATAGTTTAAATTTTACTTTTTGAGTCCACATTAGTCACTTTTAGTAGGGGTATTTATTGGATCAGATCAATATGATGATCCTCCAACAATCTAAACAAAATCAATTAAATTGGTTTGATTTTTTTCGAGTCCAACCCAAACCAAACCAATTAAACTCGATGTTGATTAGTTTAAGTATCGGATTTACACATTTAAAATTCAAACCAACTTGAATCAAACCAAATGATTTATATAGTATTACTTTTTTATTTGATTAACAATTAATATATATGTATCATTTTAATTATTTTGAAGATATTTTTTTTAATAACAATATGTAAATGTTTTCATTCTTTTTTACAAATACTTAAAGAAATCAAGAAAAGCTATATTGCAATATATTAAGAGTCATTTACACACACTATATGGAATTTGAAATCTTTAAGTAAATTAAGAAAATAAATCAAGAGGAATTATATTGCAAATCTATCAATTTAGTTAATTTTTGATAATATATCGATTGAGTTAATGTTGAAAAATCTATTTATTTTGAGAAAAATATTTTTTTTATTTTTTTTAAAAAAACTTCATTAAATATTCGATGATCTGAATCAAATCAATCCAATCAACATCGGATTAGTTAGCTTTGGATTAAGCAAAAACAATTATGACATCTGAACCAATCTAAACTAATTAAATTTAATTGGTTTAAATTTAATTTTTATCCAAATCCAAACTAATCTAACTCTTGCACACCCCTAATTTTTAGTCCATATAATTTAAAAATGGACCTTTTTAGCAATGTTTAAAAATCGAACCGATTATCAAATCAATTAGGTTATTAGATCAATAGGTCAGAGGTCAAACTAGTGAGTCACTAATTGAATCACATGACTTGATTTCTATTAAATTTTAAAAAAAAATATTCATGTTATATGTTTTATACCTATAAATTTCAATAAAATTTATAGTCTCTTAAAAAAAGTCTCTAAAAAAGTTATAGTCAATATAATAATAGAACAACCAAATTATACGTTGTTTGAACTGCATAAGTTAATATGATTAAATATATAATTTTAAATTAGAAATATGTTATATAAATTATTTAATTCAATTATTTTTAAATTAAATCATTTAGGAGTTTTATCTTTAAATAAAACATAATTTAATAAAGTATATTAGTACATATATTATATTTGTTACAAATTATATCAAGAAATCATTTGTCTTAGTAGTAAGGCATTCTCACTTATATGAGAATGACTTGTGTTTAAGTCTCACTAATAACATTTTTAAGAATATTTTACTTGGATTTTTTAGTACACCAAAGAATAATCAATTCGACCAAAAAGTTCACTGGTTTGATCGAAAAATCAGCCAGGTCACACTGGCTCTAAGCGGGATGGCGACATATCCAACCCAATGTGTGACTCAGACCGATTAGGTCATCGATTTTTGATTCAACCAGTCGATTTAGGCCGATTTTCAAAATTATGTTTTTTAGTCCATATACTTGCTTTTTAAAATACTTTTTATCCTTTGTGCCTCTTTTATGTTAAAGTAACGGAGGTCTTCAACCTTGTGCTTCTAATGTTGAATTTATTTTGCTAGAGTTATACTTTTAATGCTTTGTTTGTCTCTTTTACTTTCTCATGTGAAACTTATTGTTGAGACACCCATTGTCTTTTTTTTTTTTGCAATTGTCATACTTTGATGACTCGTATTCATATAATGTTGATTGGAAAAAATTGGACAATGGATATCTCAACAATGAGCGTTGTAGATGAAGGTTAAAAAAGACATGAGACATCAAGAAACCTAATTTAGGATAACTCTAGTAAAATAAATTTGAAATCAAAAACAAAAAATTGAAGACCTATGTCATGTTAACACAAAAAGAAAATACAATATTTTAAAAAAATTAACAAGGATTAAAAATGATTAAAAAATAAGTATAAAATCTTTAAAAATCTATTTTAAATTATATATATAAACTAAAACATAAAATAAGTGAAATTATAAAAATTAAAATATATTTTAATCAGTTTTTTTTAACTAAAATATAATAAAATTATTCTTAACATGGATCAAGCCACAATCAGGACGGTTGAAAAGTTAACTTCATCAATGAACCATCCAACTCTATGTGCATATACTTTATAAATATAATACATTACTATTAATCTACCAATCAACCGAGAGTATTGGATCTACCAATACTATCATAGTACTTCTTTAGTAGTCATTGTCACTGGGTTTGTCTTCCCACTAATTCGATCAAATTGAATGTTGATGGAAGCTACAACCTCATGTCCCATATTCGTGGATATTTTAGTT